CAGCTCTGGTCAGACCTCTCTATTTCAGGTTGGCACTATACACATGTAATCACCACCAGCCCTCTTGGGACATCCCACATAAACCTATGATTTACGAAATTCTGAAAACCTGTAATTTAACAGTGGGTCTGCCATACAACCTCAACCCCCTAACCATCTGTCCAACCAAATCACATTCTAAAACTTGCCCCATATGGAAATTCTGGCACTGCTTCTGTGTATCACTTAGCACAATGTCTGGGACGTAGTGAGTAAAGGCTAGCAATCCTTATTACTGTTACCATCGTTCACTAGTTTACTAAGAGATTGTGTTTTCTTCTTCAGCGTGCATGGGTAAATTCATAAATGATGATAAAATCCACCCTTGCCTTTCCGGCAGCAGTTCAGATTCACCATCTTGTCTAGAAGTTCACTGAATTCCTGTCATGTATCTTAACTTTTTAATATTTACCAGTAGCCATTGGGTCATGTAGTCCTAACTTGCTTATTCTAAAAAAGGATATGAAACCATTGACTTTTGATATAAGAGGGGACTTCACAAAATTTGGAGAAATGGGACTGAAGTATTATTTGGGTGCAAAAAATGTTGAAATCCATACATACTGGGCCAGCAGGTGGTATGGTGGTTAACTAAGGTACTGGACTATCGCACAGCCAACCGTGGTTCAAATCCCAGACCTGGTGGCTTTGCTTTCTTATCCCCCCAATCAGCACATGAGCAAAATGCTCAACATTGCTACTCATTAGAGGGATGCAAATCAAAGTCATGAGATACTACTTCACACCCATTAAGAAAGCCATAAAATAATAAGTTGGTGAGGATATGCACTTTAGTAGGAATGTAAAATGTTGCAGCCACTATTAAAAATACCATAATTGTTCTTCAAAAAGTTAAAAAGTAAATGACCATACAATCTATTTCTGGATCTATGTCCAAAATATTTGAAAGCAGAATCTTGAAGGGACTATTTGTAAAAGGATCTTTTTACTTTTCTTTCTTTCTTTCTTTCTTTCTTTCTTTCTTTCTTTCTTTCTTTCTTTCTTTCTTTCTTTCAATTTGATGAGAGAGAAAGAGAGAGAAAGATAAAGTGAGAAATCAAGTTGCCAGGCCTGGGACTCCAACAGCAGTCGATTCTTACGACTACTCAGTGAGAGAGCAAGCTGGGTTGTAGTTCCCAGTTTTGAGGCGGGATCATCCCCTTACAGGGTACATGGCATTCCTGAAGCTTTCAGGGGCTGGGGTGGCCACCTGTTGCATGGCTATCCTGGCATCCTTAGAGATATTTGGCCCTCACCCTCATCATTTCTGTGAGTTGCCATCTCCTTCCTTGTGCACAAGATGCCTTCCAGGACCCTAGCAAGCTCTCTCCAGCAAGCTCCCTCCATCATTTCCTCTCTGAACTTTGGAGACTCGCTCAGGGACCAGAGGGTCTCCTGGCTGCCCTCTCAGGCTCTCCAGAAGCCTCAGAGTTGGTGTTCCAGCTCCCCCAGCAAATGGACACAATGGAAGTGTTACAGTATGAAGACTTCTTCTTTAAAAAAGAATTATTTAACTTTATCTATTTGTTTATTTTAATTTGACCAGAGAGGGACAGAGTGAGGAGGTGGGGGGGGTGAGAAAGCAAGCCACCAGGTAGGGGACTCAAACTGCAGTCAGCCATTTGGGAGTCCAGCGCTCTCAGCCACTGCGCCACCTGCCAACCCCCCGGTGTGAGGAGTTCTGACAAATACATACACCCATGTAGCCCATACCCTGTGAGGCATAGGGTGTTTCCATTACCCCAGAAAATTTCCCTTCCCAGTCAATATTCCCTTCCTGGAGGCAACTATTGTTTTAGTGTTTAGTTCATGAGAAATCTGAATTCTTCTCCTTTGGGGGTTGAGGCAAGTAGGGACATGGGAAGAGGTAGTTTTTTGCTGAGTATTCTTCCTAAACCATTATTTATGCCAGATTCTGAGGCCTGTTAATAAAAAAACAAAACAAAAACAAAGAGCTTCCTTTGTGTCTCCTTGTACTTTAGCTATGGCTTCCATTTCCCTGTGAGCAATGAAATTCAAGGTCTATTTTGAGAGAGGGTGAAGAAGAGTGACATGCTGAAGAAAGGGACATCCCATACACACACCACACACATTTCCTAGCTCAACCCGTCTCTGTCTCCACTGTTGGTAGTTTTTGTTTTTGTTTTAGTTTGTTCTGGGGCATGTGTGCTAAACAAAGAGGAAAAAAAAAAGGGAAAGTGAGAAAGCACCCCTGGGGGTTATGACCACCTGCAATCCCTTCTCCTCTGGGGATTTTGGGCATGCACGCACACATGCTCAGTGTGCTTTCAAGCCACCGGTTCTGGGACTTGAATTGCTCAGTTGGCCATGTGGGATCTAGCCACCCTAACTTCCCTGCCATCTGCTGGCCCCCACCATTGTTGCAGTTTTTCCCAAACTACTAATGATGCAAATTCTCTAAGCCTCTGATCTCTCACTTGTGGCTCAGTCAATAAACTCAGGTAAAAGGTGGTCATAACACTAACATGGTATCCCGTCCTCCAGGAGTTTACCACTGGGTGGGGGAGACTGTCATGGTACCGCTCATTTAAGTCCACTCTACATGGATGCTCTTCCTGTGTTGTCTTTCTTATGGTTGGAACCAACAACTACCCATCAACAACTCCAGACACTGCACACCTTCCTCTCTCCGGTTTCAACAAGTCCCCCATGCCTGGCACCAATCAGTCAGCAACTCACCTGATTTTCCCTCAAAGGATTTCTCAAATGCATCCCTCTTCTCCATCCTAGTTGCCCTAAGCCTAGCTCAGGTCACTCTCAGCCCTCTTCCGGATCATGGCCTTCAGTCACTGCAGCATCTGTCTCAAATGCCAGTCGGACCCTGTCAATTCTGGAGAGTGTTCACAGTTCTTACTGTCACAATCCAGAGTCCCCTCATCTGACCCCACTCACCTGAAGCTTTAGTTCCCATTGCCACCATCCTGTTCTGCTCAGGCAAGCCCACCCTCTCCCCTGGCTGTGCCCCTCAGCCTGCCTGTGTTTACGAATGAATGAATAACGATCCCTTTTCTCCTCCTCACCCGCTATGTCCATAACCAGTTAAACAATTCCCTCCCGGTAGCCTGCCCTGCACTGATCCTCCAGCGTCTCAGGGAAGCCTGGACTCTTTGACTTCCATCTCTCTTTTTTCTCCCCTTCCTCTTCATGAATAGTTTTGGTTTTGTTTTGTTTTTTAGTTTGCTATAAGGCACATGCACTCTCTGGAGAGAGACAGAGAAAGTGAGAAATCACTCCCCACAAACACATGGGGGATGGCCACACTACAATCCCTTCTCCTCCACTCTTCTCTCAGGACTTTGGGCACACACACATGTGCCTGGAGTGTTTTTGAAACCACAGTGTCCGGACTCGAACTGTGCAGTTGACCATGTGGGATCCAGTCACTATAACCACCATGCCATCCACTGGCCCTGTTTGTTTTTCTGTGAAACATCTATCTGATTCACTTCTTCCTCCCCATTCTCTGTTGCTGCTTCCTGGTCTGGCCGTCATTCCTTCAGACAAGATGATCACAGCGGTGCCTGAATGGTTGCCCTGACTTCACTACCTTACTCTTTTGGGGTCGTGAGGTTTCCATGCATTTTGACTTAATGTTCACAAAAAACCATGAGCTAGATATTATTACTTGAGTTGTATAAATAGATAAGGAACTGGAAGATAGAGCCTAGGCTCATACGGGGTTTATCTGGCTCTGAGAGATCTGCTGACTCCAAAAAGACTGATGACCTTAGGTAAATCACTTAACCTCCTAGAGCATCAGATTCCTCATTCATAAAAAGGGGTATAATAAAAATAACAGTAATCACCTCATTGGGAGAACATGTGAGATGACACTTAGCACCTTCCTCATTCCAGTGCATCCCTCCTCTCCATCCTAGGTGCCAGAGCCTAGCTCCAGACACTCTCAGCCCTTCTCTGGACCTGACCTCCCTGACCACCTTATCATCTGTTTCAAATCCCAATTCCTCAGTCCCCAAGATCTATGGGGGAAATGCCCACAGTTCTTAACATCACAAACCAGGGCCCCATAATCTGACCCATAAGTAAATATGCAACCATTATCAGCCACTAAAGTCCACACCTCCTGTCCACACACTCTATAGCATACCCAGCACATGAGCAGGCTCATTGCCCTGGCCCACGTGCTGTTGGGAAGAGCTCTTGAACCATAGCTAACAGGAAGATATCATATCTAGCCCCCCGCTTTGCCCCTCAAAGCTGGTCTCTCCTGGGAAGGCACCATATGCTGTATGATAAAATGACCTCACGTGGTCCTACACAGAATGTACACCAGATGAAAATACACCCTGTCTGGTGGACAATGCACAGAACCTGCAACTTCGCCCAGTCCTTGGCGCGTGACCATAGGAACTCTTGAAACCTCTCTGAATTTACTCATTTATGAAATGGAAATAATAGTATTTTCCCTACGATGAAATGGAAATAGTAGTATGTTCCCTACAAGAATATTGAGATGATGCCTATACAACCTTGAGCACACTGCCCGACTCACAGTTAAGGAATTGTGTCACATTATCACAACCGGTTACCATGTATAAGTGAGCTTTAGTGTAAGTTAAGGTGAGATGGATTTATAAATCACATTCGCATGTTACCAAAACTAAGTATTAAAAGCAGAGGAAACGTAAAAAGATTATGCAAATCAGGTGCAAGTACCGCTCACCCAAAACGGTGACTACCTTCCTCAGAGGGTACTGGGAGCTCCTGCAGGGAGCTAGAGGCAGAGGCGGGAGAAGCCTGTCCCACCTCCGCCACTCGAGCCCCGCCCCCAGGGCTGCATGACGTATGCCCAGGCCCGGCCGACGAGGGGCGGGGCCCCGCTCACGTGGGCGCGGGTGCGGAAGTTGTGCCACGGGACGCGTTCGTGATTGGCTGCTTCTCAGAGTCTGGGGGCGGGGTCAGGCCGACGGACGCGCCAGGAGGAGGCGGGGGAGGAGGCTGCAGTGGCTCTGGAGTCTGGGATTCGGCCCGCGGAGCCGATCGAGTGCTGGGCCAGTAGCCATCCGGTGCATCCCGGCTTGTGCCCGCACCCGGCTACTCGCGGTTCCCCGGGCCGGCGCAGGCGGCTGCGGGAGGCCGATAGGGTGGGCGGAGGGAGGCCAGGAGGGCGCGGGCGCCCTTTGCGCGGAGTAGACGGAGGCGGCGGGGGGCCGGGACGCCATGTCCATGGAGGACCCCTTCTTTGTGGTGAAAGGGTGAGTGTCGGTCGATGACTCCGTTGCAGAAGGCGGTGGCCGTGCTGCCTGCCTACAGCTCCCGGGTCTCCTCGCTGTAGGGGGTGGGGAGACAAGTTTAGGGTAGGGAGGAGATGGAGGGGGCACGACGGGCTTAGCTTTGAGGCCGATGACCAAGCATCCGGAGACGTCTCCTCAATCCTACCTGGACTGTGCAACCCGTGTCCTCCACCAGTCCCTTGGGGAGGGGGTCCCGTTTCAGAGTGGGCATTGCAGCATAACTTATTTGGGGGCCTAGGGGTCCAGTGACTCCGCAGGTGGGAAAGGAGCAGCGGTCCTAGGCCCAAACTAGGGGTCCAGGCGAGCAGGGACCCTGCTTCAGAGGGAAAACACCATCTGGGCAGGAAAGGGAAATGGCCCTCCTGAGCTTTGTAGTTGGCGTGGACGGGGTGAGCTTCATTGTCCATTGAGTTTGGAGCACTCGGCCGCAGACGGGAAAGCCCACAACGTGCCCAGAGGTGTCGGAGCAGGTTTGCGGGGAGGGACGTGGGGGAGCAGGTACCGGAAGACAACTCTGTTTGGTGGGGGAGTCTTCACTGAGAGTCCTGCGAGGACAGGAAAGCAATCGTTCATACTCAGAGATGATATTGGGGAGAAAAACAAAATGAAACCAGCCAAGCCAAACTTTCCTCAGCCTTCTATTAGCAACTGGGATTTTCCCACAGTGCTAAAGGAAATGAGTGTTTCTTTTTAACTCTTTGATTTCATCCAGGCTATTTGACAGCTTCCCCCTTTTCTAATTTCTGCCTTTCAGAATGGAGCTGTCTTATTTTTCCTTAGGAGCTGCCCTGACTCCATCTTTGATTGCTCGATGTTTATTTGGAGATGGGAGCTTCAGTTGCAATTTGCTGTATCTACTTGGTAGCCTTTAAACAAAATGCAAAAGATCAGTCCTGATGCCCTAACATTTCTAATACCTTGTCAGTTTTATGTTTTAAATGTCACACAAACATCAGATAATCTGAGAACTACGAAATTCCCAGAAGTTCAGTACTAATAATCATAGTGTCCCTTGCTTTTAGCTACTTGCTATCAGCCTCCTATTTCTGTAGTGGTGAAAACTGACTACTTGTATAGGCGTTTGTTGGCTTAAGCGTTCTCAGGACGTTTAAATAGCACTTGAAGGGAAATCCTTCATTATTGCTTCTTTTCATTGCTCTGGAGAGGTTCTTCATCACATTCCTTTAATTTAGATGGGGAAATGCTAACTTGTAGATTTACCAGTAATATGTGGCTCCCTACTTGGAAAATGTGTTGTTAGAAGGATTGATTTAGGAGTTACTTTTTAAAATTTAATGCTATGTGTTTTCCCCTTGGATAAAAGTCTGTACCATGCAGCTTATGATACAAAGTTTATGTCTGGCTACAGAGATTGGAGATAATCAGGATTTTTTTGTTTGCTTGACTTATAAAAAAAATTATTATTCTATTTAATTTTATTTACTTATTTTAATTTGACCAGAGTGGGACATAGGGAGAGAAGGGGAAGATGAGAAAGCAAGCGCCAGGTCTAGGACTTGAACCATTGTTGACCATGTGGGAGTCTAGCACCCTTAACCATCACACCATCTTCCATCCCATGCTTGACTTTTAGTGGAACCTGTGAAAACTCTAAATTGCTTTGCCACTTGGCATTTTTTTTTTTCCTTCCTGATAGTACATAGTACAATTTTCCAGTGCTTGCTCACTGATTAGTTATCATTGGTTTATTGGAACATTGGCCTGGAGTTGTGATTGACTTTTTACATCATTGTTGCTCAGATCATTAAGATGCCTAAAAGAAAAAAGATTCTCAGGACCAGCAGATGGCATAGTGACTACATCACTGGACTCCCATGTAGTCAACCATGGTTGGAGTCCCGGACCCGGTGGCTTAAACTCATACTGGGCACATGTTCGTGCGTGCCCAAGATCCCAAGAGGAGAATGGAGGAGAAGGGGGTTGCAGCGTGGTCCATCCCCCCCGGGGGGTGATTTCTTGCTTTTTGTCTCTCTCTCTCTTTCTGGTGAGTGCATGCGTCCTATAGCAAAAGCCTCCCCCCCCAAAAAAAAAAAAAAGATTCTCAAGACCTTCTGCTATGGAGAGTCACTGTGGGTAGCACCAGATGCTTGTGGGAGAGCATATTTGGGGAACCATGTACCTCCAGTTATTAGAAGTATTGAAAAATGTGTCATGCAGTGTGGAAAATTTTAATGTAACCAAGGAGTTTCTAGTCTACAGTGAGAAACAAACCACCCCAAAATTAAATGGAAATGACAGATGGTAAATAAGTGCTGAAATGGATGCCCCAGGAGTTTAGAGAAAAGCAGCTCCTTAGGAATAGTTATGATGGAAGAAACTTTTGGAGATAGTATTGGGTTGTCAGAAAAGTCATGATGTATTTTTCTACGGTTTTCTATGCAGAAATGCATCATGAGTTTTTCCAATGGCCCAACAGTAGGTGTTGAATTAGATTTTGAACGTGGGCAGAATTGAGGTAATTAAGGCCTTACTCTTCCCTGGGCACTTTTCAGGAAGTCTCTTCATTGGCCTTCCTGCTGCCAGTGTCCTTCCTTTTTCATTCTGCCCTGTGTCTGTTGGGTCAGCGCTGTCCAATAGAAATACAGTGCAGTCCATGTATGTTGTCTTCATTTTTTAGTAGCCATATTAAAAAGGTTTAAAGAGGGGCCAGTAGGTGGCACGGTGGTTAAGGCTTTGGACTCCCACGTGGCTGACCATGGTTGAAGTCTCAGACTCGGTGACTTGTAACTCATGCCAGGCACGTATGCATGTGTGCCCAAAATCCCAAGAAGAGAAGGGATCGTAGCATCATCTCTGGGAGTTATTTATCACGTTCCCTCTCACTGTCTAGCTTTCCCTCTCTCTGGGGAGCATATGCATTCTTATAGCAAAAAAAAACAAAACCAAAAACAAAAAAACCTTTAAAACGTAGAAAGAAACTGGTGAAATTAATGTTAGTATCTTTAATATAGTCAAAATGTTATTTCAACATTTGATTAATATAAAGGTGATTAATGAGATGTACTTATTTTGTACTAGTTGTTTGAAATCTGCTACGTATTTTAGGCTTACAGCACATTTAAATTTGAATGTGAAATTTTCATCAGAAATTCATGATCTGTATTTAGAATTTATTAAACTCACAGTTGAAAAGTAAATTCACACACCCTTCTCGTTCCAAACATACATAAAAGTTTTCTAGAACTGAATTGCAGATCAGTTTCCCATTTGAACTAATTGAAAAGTGAAAATATGGGTCTGGCAGGTGGTGTGGTGGTTGAGGTACTGGACCCCCACATGGCCAACCATGGTTCGAGTCCCGGACTAGTGGCTTGCTTTCTCACTTTCCTTCTCTCTCTCTCTGGTCAAATTGAAAAATAATGATAAATACAATTTTTTAAAGAATTATTTTATTTAGCTTTATTTATTTATTTATTTTAATTTGACCAGAGAGGGACAGAGTGAGAGCTAGCGAGAGAGGGAGGGAAAGTGAGAAGGCAAGTCACCAGGTCTGGGACTTGAACCATGGTCAGCCATGTGGGAATCCAGTGTCCTTAACCACTATGTCACCTGCTGACCCCATAATAAATACAATTTTTAAAAAAATGAAAATATAGCTCCTCGGTCACACTAAATACTGTGTGAGTCAGTAGTTATGAGTGCTTCTGTATGGAACAATGCAATGTGGCCTTTCAGTATCCCAAGGAGGCATTTTCTGCTTAGTGTCACGTAATGGCAGCTGGCCGGCCACAGAATGAAGTGCAGAACTTCATGACCTTTCTGATCCCACCCTTTCTCTAGCTTCTACTTGCCCTGCCCACCCTCAGCCTCTGGGCTGCAGCAGTGCCAGGCTCGGTATGGTGACTGACCACAGTCCTGGGTGCTCTGACTTGTGCACCCACTCGACCTGCTTCACCCACTCAGCTCTCAGGGCTCTGTGTAAGCACCTCATTGCTGCCAGGAAGTGCCTCTCTTGGCACCTGTAACCCATGATTGCACCTCTTCCTCTGGCTGTCTTTATTAGACGTGAGCTCTGAGGGTTCGGACTGCGTTTTTCCTGTATTTCCAGCCTAGCACCTTGAGTAAGTAGTAGAAACATTGAACAGACACCCAGTGTGGTGAAGGAGGTTCTTCGGGGGTGGGAACTCCTCCAGCAGAGACCCTGAGGTGGGCAGCCTGTGTTTGGGAATCGTCGGGAGGGCAGCCCAGGCGGAGGGAGCAGCTGGTTTGGGGTGTAGTAATGGCAGTATTTAAGGGATGCGTCTCCTGCTCAGGCATTGTCTGCTAAGTAAGCACTTTCTTCTTATTTTCCTTCATAAGAGTAGCCAAGTGATGTGGCACTTGCCGCATTTTAGAGATGAGGTGTAGAGGGGTTAAGTTAGTTATCTAGGGTTGCACAGCTTGTAAGTGGTGGAGCCAGGGTTCAAATTTGAACAGCCCGATTCCACTCGTACTAGTAATAGTTCCTATGCAGTGCAAACTGTGTTAGTCTCAAGAGAATCTCATCTTGAGGCCATGAGAGATTTTATTTTTGAAGGATGATTACTTTTATTTATTGTTATTATTATTTTTTTCTTATTGGGTGCGTGCACTCGCCAGAAAGACAGAGATAGAGAGACAGAAAGTGAGAAATCACCCTCCAGAGGGGATGGCCACGCCTCAATTCCTTCTCCTCCATTCTCCTCTCGGGATCTTGGGCACACACGCACATGCGCCCAGCGTGAGTTTAGGCCACCAGGTCCGGGACTTGAATCGCGGTCAACTGCATGGGAGTCCAGCGACATAGCCATTACGCTAACTGCTGATCCCAATTTATTGTTATTATTTTTTAAATTTGCTATCGGGCACAAGCACTCACCAGGGAGTAAGAGAGAAAAGGAATGTGAGAAGGTAAGCCACCAGGTCCAGGACTCAAACTGTGGTCAGCCCCGTGAAAGTCCAGTGCCTTAACCACCACACCA